TATGGCTAGAAACCAAATATGAGTGAGTACATCCCATGTTCCTCTTTTTGGGTCTGGCTTACCTCACTCAGGATAGTGTTTTCTATTTCCATCCATTTACCTGCAAACTTCAAGAAGTCATTGTTTTTTACTGCTGAGTAGTACTCTAATATGTATATATTCCATACTTTCTTCATCCATTCTTCAACTGAAGGGCATCTAGGTTGTTTCCAGGTTCTGGCTATTACAAACAATGCTGCTATGAACATAGTAGAGCATATACTTTTGTATATTCCCAAGAGTGGTATTGCTGGGTCCAGGGGTAGGTTGATCCCGAATTTCCTGAAAAACCTCCACACTGCTTTCCAGAGTGGTTGCACAAGTTTGTATTCCCACCAGCAATGGATGAGTGTACCCCTTTCTCCCACTGTGGTTTTCTTTATTGTCAAGCAGGAGTGCTAAGATCTTCTCTCCATCTGTGAGAACTTGACTGCATCAGGGTGCGGTGACAGCTGTCATTTAGGCAGGCGTCCTGCTGTAATATTTGTTCTGTCACGGCCTTCTCGTTCCCTGTGTTCACACTCAGTGGAAAGACCTTGCAGACAACTGTCACACTGGAGTCTGCATCACAGATCCGGGAGCTGACAGAATGAGAGGGGAAAACTGATAGAACATATTTGTGCTTCAGGGACATTCTGTCTGTGCCCTGTGGGTGACTGTCCTTGCAACAATAAGTTAAGCTATGGTGTTTGTTTAGTCAGGTTTAGCTTCCTTTTCAGGACATTCTGTTTACTAACCTCTTCTGGTCCTGTGCCTCCAGTCAAATTGATCAAAGTTCTGCAGTTCTGGTTGCCTGCACAACTATCCCCATGGTCATATAGATTGGTCAGGGGCTGTCTGTGTAGTGAGTCTGTATGTGCTTGTGCACATATACAGTACAATTCTAAGGATATCTCTGCATTGAATTAGGCTGTTTTATGCTCTCCCCCAGACTCTTGGCACCCACTGTTTCTGAATGTAGAAAGATATCAGTTTCCCACTGAGTATTTAGAACTACAGAACAGGCACAAGTGTTCACAGTAAAGTCAAGGAGTTTTCTTCACAGTCCTCTTTCATTGCCTAATGATGTTTCTGAGCATTGATGGTGAAGAGGGGAGCAAGACAAAAGCACTTTCTGCTGAGTGAGTCTCATTATACAGCAAATGAATGACGAACACAAACAATGTGGCAGCAAGGGCTGTGGAGAAACTGAAACATCACGAAAGAATGACAAATGATAGAGGCAGGTACATTTGTACATGCCAATGCAAATATAAATCCTGAATCCTGCCGAACTGAAGCCTAACCTAGAGAAAGGTGATTAACAGCCATGTGGTTATGGGGAGAAAACAAAAAGACATAGAAGCAGTCACGAAGTACAAATTGATAAGATGAAAAGATACCATGGGGCTGGAATCCAGACACCAGAGGCTCCAGAAATGCAATAAGTATTCAAAGATATAATGTATGGAACATGTGCACTGTGTACCCAATGAATGCTCCCTGACTGAAATGGGAATCCTTGTGGCGCCTCTCAGAATGACTTGACATGGTATGACTTCAGTGTCACTAGGATAACTCTGGCTGCTTGTTCATCCATGTTATTGCAAAAATAATCACAGGACATATAGCAATATTGATGACATAATCAAAGCTGTGATTGAGGAGCTCTTGTAGAGGATAAAGGAGGAGGAATGAACAATTGTAGGTGGATTAGGAAATAGAGCCCGAGTCTGTGAACTAATGTGGTATGGGTAAGACAGAAAGAGGAGGCTCCAGGGTGACAATGAGGACTTACTGTCCTTAACTGACTGTGTGGTCCATTGTGATGTCATGGGAGGTCTTGTAGGCAGGTTTGTGGAAAATAAAGGGTAGAAATACGAGATCTGAACTAGTTAAATACCCAACAATTATACTGAGTTCCTTAGACCTGGCAGCAAGTGTATTTACCTGCTGAACCTTCTTAATGGACTTGAGATTCATTTTTTTTAATTCAAGGTCTCAAGTAGCCCAGGTCAGCTTCTAATTCCCTACCAAAGATGACCCTCTTACTCTGCTCCCTGAGTTCCAGAATTCCAGGGATCCCAGATCTGCAAGCACCTGAGTTTGATGAGGTGCTGGGGATTGAACCCAAGGCCTTATTCATGCTAGCAAAGCTCTCTATCAATCGACCTACACCTCCAGTGCATGGTTAGATTGCTTTCATAAGATGAAAGGTTTAAAAGAAAATAGTGAATCTAAATGATGACTTGAGGACACGGAAACATTGTATTTGATAAATTAATTTTAACATAGAGTTTAAGGGTAAAGAAGTTATATATCATTGCAAGTTCATACTCTTCATGCAGATGAGTTCCATGTTATGAAAAAGGTAGAAGAAAAGTAAAGAATCTACTTTTCTAATTACTTGTCTAATTCTTAGACAAAATCAAAATTATTTCACAAAAACACAATAGCTGAAATTACTGAAATCTTTTGAAAATAACAGACAAAAACAGTTTTGTGTGATATTAAAGAGATTTGGCATTGCAGAAATCTGCTGTCAATTATCATTCACTATTATTTTTCAGTGTGCAGAACTAGATGTGTGTTAGATTTCCATTCAGTTGGAAGCACACAATGTGGAGAGTGTGCACAGATGGAGAAGCCATTGTGGATTTCATATAGAATACTCCAGTCAGGACAGATGCAACATAGTTGCTAATGTTTTTATACTTGCTGATGCTGGCAAAAAGACACATGCAGATCTTATATTATCTTTCCTTATTATGCTTAAGTATTATTTTTGTATAATGAAGGGTTTAATTGAGAGTTAGTATAAATTTGGTCTAGTTTCCTTTCTAATTATTGTATAAACACTGTGACAAAAAGAATTTCTAAAAGAAAAGGTTTTCTTTTGGGCTTCCATTCACTGCTCACAGTCTACCACTGGGGGAAATCTGGGCAGAAACTCGGCAGAAGTAGAGACAGGATCCATAGGAGATGACGAGGCATTTCATTTGTGTTTTAGTAAATAAAGCATGCCTGAAGATAATATAACAGCCTCAATGGTCAGCATTACAGACTAAGCAGTGGTAATACACACCTTAAATTCCAGTAACCACACTAGTTGCCATAAAAACCATTCCTTTAATCCCAGCCCTAGAGAGGATTATAAAATGGGAGGAAACAGTCTCAGACATAATCTCATTCTGTGGTTCCTGGAAGCAGGATCACTATTTCAGACTGAGGTAGAGGTAAGGGCCAGTGGCTGGCTGCTTTGTTTTTCTAATCTTCAGATTAAAATGCAATTTCTCTCCTGAGCTTTTATTAATTGTGCTTCAAGGAGAATGCTGTTTGTTGTCTTGCTCCCCATACATTGATAATACTGTTCTAAATTACCCAAGACTACCAGTCCAGGGGCTGTACCATCAACAGTGGGCTGGAAGCTCCCACATCAATACTCAAGAAAATACCACATGAAGACGCTCCCAGGCCAATCTGATTGAGGCAATTCCTCAAACGAGATTTTCTCCTCCAAAAGGAGTACAGCATATACCTTGCTGACTGAAAATCATCATGGGAACTGGTCAACATCAGAACATAACTGGGGCTACAGCATAGAGAACTCAATGCTAAGCATAAAGGCGTCTTAAATCTTGCAATTTACTCTCCCATCTTTCTTTCAGGAACATTTTTTCAAAAATCAGTGGTTGGTTTTTCCCTGATACATCTAAGAATGAAGACCCTGAAGATTTGGAGTCCAGATTTACAGCATATTTTAAAAATATTAACACAGGAAATAAAATCATTTCTCGGGAAACGATCAATTCAATTGAGTTACATCTGAGAGAAGGAAACATTCAGAAGGCAAACTCTGTAATCAGTGCTGCTTTAAAAAATATTAACAATGCCCCCATAAATATTGCTGTGACTGGAGAGTCTGGAGCAGGGAAGTCCAGTTTCATCAATGCCCTGATGGGACTTGGACCTGAAGACGAAGGTGCAGCTGAAGTTGGGGTGGTAGCGACAACTATTAGTAGAATTCCATATAAACACCCCAAAATTCAAACTTTGACTTTATGGGACCTGCCTGGCATTGGAATTATGAACTTTCCACCAAAAGTTTATCTGGAGAAAGTGAACTTCCAAGACTATGATTTTTTCATCATTCTTAGCGCCACACGTTTTACAAAACTTGATCTAGACCTTGCAAAAGCAGTCAGATTTATGAAAAAGAAATTCTACTTTGTGAGAACCAAGGTGGACTCTGATTTATACAATGAGAAGAAATGCAAACCACACACATTTGACAGAGAAAAGACCTTGGAGCAGATCAGAAGCTACTGTGTGAATACCTTCAGACAGTATAAAATGGATGCAACACGGATTTTCTTGATTTCTAACCACGACTTATCTGACTATGATTTTCCAGTTCTGATGGACACCCTGATAGAGGAGTTTCCTAATCAAAAGCACCATAATTTTATGCTCTCCTTGCCTAGTATTACAGAGGCAGTCATTGACAGAAAGCACAAGTCTATGGAGCAACAAATCTGGTTGGAAGCCTGCAAGGCTGGATTCTGCGCTACTCCTCCAACAGTGGGCATCCTCAGGGATGATGTGGAGGAGTTGAAGGTGAAGTTAAACTGCTACCGAGTCGACTTTGGAGTGGATGATGCATCCCTGGAAGCCACGGCTAAAGATTCTCAAGTGCCTGTTGAACAACTGAAAAAACTCATTAAATCCCCATATTTGTTGGAAACTGAGAAAGAAACGACATTAAGAGAAATGTTATTGAAATATTTGGAGAATTTGGAAAAATTTGCCTCAGCTACTGGTGGGTTCCTTGGTACAGGTCTTTTCTTTAGGAAAACCTATTACTTGCAATTTCTGTTCCTTCATACAGTGGCTGAAGATGCCAAAGTTATCCTGAGAGAGATAAATTTAAGAAAGTAGTTTAAACTCACCTCACCACAGCTACACACCGTGACAAAAGCAAATGGTCACTATCAGGAGTCATTAAGTGAATTCCTCCTTCTGACATATTTTCTTTACCCTGGTAAATCCACAATCACCATGGAGAAATCTAAAGACTCATGCTCTTAAGATCTGACAACCTCAATTTCACTTCGCCTCTACCTTCTTCTCTGTCTTTCAACTCCACCTGTCGTGGAATATTATTTTAACTGGGAAAAGATGTGTTACATTTCTTTATGCTGCAGACTATTACTTTAACTTTGTAAAAAAAAAAAGCTGGTACAAAGTGGGACCAGTATTTTCATGTAGGGCCTAAGAAAACTGAGAAAAAAAAAGTAAAAAATAATGAAGCCCTATGCCAAGTAAAAACAATCAAAGTTAGGACCAGCATTCAAAGCTCTCTCTGTAATGAATTGAGAGCCCAAAAGAAAGAAAGCCTAGTATATCCACCTATAAATTTGAATCACATGCACACACATGCACACATTTATGAATGGACACATGCAACACCCAAAATACACAAGCACAAACAAAAGATATGAATAAGTGCAATGTAGCTAATTCCTCCTAATCAACTAATCAAAATATTCTAATGGAAACTCAGAAATTTGGAGGCACTTGCCATGCATGTATGAGGACCAGAACCCATATAAATGTTCATTCAGTGAGTATGGCAGTTGCCTTGTACTTCCACACTCAGAAGGCAGAAACAGTGCAATCATGGAGCAGGTTGGCTTGCTGGACTGTGTAGATCTACAAGCTTGGGATTCATTTGAGAGAACCTGCTTAGGTGACAAAAGTAGAAAGTAACTGAGGAGAAGACCCAACGTTAGCCTGAAATGTCCCCACACAGGTAACCATGCACACCCCACACAGGGACACATCTTAAATGTAAAATAAAATAAGATTCAGGAAGTAAATAAAATCACAAATCTTAGAAAGTATGGAAACATAAAAGTTTCATGAAGCTCCTCAAGGTTAAGAAGTAATCCATACATTGTCCAAAGCTTCTAAATAAATTCTGTGCTTGGTCTGTACCTCAGTGGTTGACAAGGAGGAGTTAAGTCCTTGGTTCCATTCCCAGTACCACACAAATACATTCTGTATACCATTTGTCTTCTGATTATTTCACCATGGAAGAAAAGGCTGAAGAATATGTTACTATTTTCACAGCTTGATTCTCCTCTCTCTGCTCTGAGAGTTCAGGCATCAAGGGGCTCCTGATTGGTTTAAACCAAATTGTGATGTCAGTGAGAGTTTCTCCTTAAAGATCACAAATTAACGTCATCCCCCAAATGCCTTCAGTGACCATAGTAGATGATGACTGTGGGACCTATCACTGTTTCTAGCACAACTTTGACCTATCATTATAGGGAATTTCTTTTAACATTGGGAAAATAAATCACAAGTCTCTGGCTATTAGAATTGATGACAACAAAATAATCTTGAGTCTAGTATAATAAAAGGTAAACATTAATGCTTACATATTAATAATTAAAATGTGTATAGACTTTCTTGCTTGCTTGTTAAAAAAATAAGTAATCTGTACATTGTCTTAGTTTGTATCTCTGTTGACGGGATTAAACACTAACTATCATGAAAGAAAGCTCTGTGAGGTGATTTCTGAGTGTTTATGATAAAACTCCAGGACAAAGACAAAACCCACCTGGCTAAAGCCTCATAAAAATTTAATATTTACACACAAGTGTCTTGTAACTTCGGTTCCTTCGTAACATGAATTTATTCCTCGAATGTGCTGTCGTGTCCCTCTTGAGGTGGATTAAACAGGAGTGGGTTTTATTGTAGATTACCCGTCATCTTACCACTAGTATTCAGGATGATGTTTCCAAACAGAAGTTGTCCTCCTGACTCTGTATGGTCTAAATCCAGGTGACCTTGCCTTTGTGATTGATCATAACTTGAACTCAAGTGAGCTTTGCTCACATGATCTTGTTTGATTCATAAAAATGCACTCAAAGTATAAATTGTCTGATTACCTGAATAAAGTTGATTATTGCATGAGACTTTAGACCACCTCATTTTTAGGCCCCACTCTCCCATGTTCATGCCACCAAATACAAAGGATACACTGACTAGATCAGCCTGAGGGAGGAAAGTATTTAATTGGCTGGCAGGTTGCAGCCCATCATCAAAAGAAGCCAAGGAACTGAAGTAGAGACTATGAGGGAACACTGCTTACTGACTTGCTCTCAATGGGTTGTTCCCCCACTTTCTCACACATCCCAGGACCACATTCCTAGGGACGGTACTTACCACAGTGGGCTGGCTCCTCCTACATTATTTATCAATCATGAAAATGCCCTAAAGATATTCCCACAAGTCAATGTGACTAAAGAAATTCCTCAATTGTGATTCCCTCTTGCAAGTGAGGGAATGGGGTTCATGCCTCTAATCCCAGCACTCTGGTGGTTTTCTCATACCAGGTGTGATTATTCATGGTGAAGTCTTCCTGGCCAAAGCCACCATTATATCAGAGTGTGGAGCAAGGATTTCCATGGATTACCTCCATCTCTTGTGATTGAAAGTTTGGCTGGGTTTATTAAACTGGACTGGCATCTATGCTTTCTTAGAGTCTGAAGAACATCTACGCAGGTCCTTCTGACTTCTAGGGTCTCCATTGAGCAGTCTAGTGTTATTGTAATACATCGGCTTTTATATGTTATTTGGTTATTTTTCCTTGCAGCATTTAATATTTTTTTCTTTATTCTGTACATGCAGCATTTTGATTATTATCCACCAATAATATTTTTTCTCAAGTCCACTTGGTGTTCTATATTGTTTCTTGATAGGCATTTCCTTGTTTAGGTTAGGAAAATTTCTATGGTTTTGCTGAAAATATTTTCTGTGCCATTGACTTTGGTTTCTTCTCATTCCTTTATTCTTACCATGGTTAGATATTTTCATAGGGTCCCAGATATCCTTAAAATTTTGTGTCAATATTTTTTCTTTTTTATATTAAGTATTGTGTTTTATTAAGTTTTCCATTTATTTTATCACCTCTTCAATGCTTGAGATTCTTTCTTCCCTCTCTTTTATTCTTTTGGTGAGGCTTGCCTCTGAGGTTTCTGCTCAAGTTCCTAATTTTTTCATCTCCAGATTTCCCTCAGTTTATGTTTCTGTTTCAAAAGGTCGTTGATTGGTTATGTGGATTTACACAAGGGTCTCTGGTGCTATTCTATTGATCAATGTGTCTTGTATTGTTTTGTTTATAGAGTCATGCCATTTTTGCTACTATAACTACTATTTAAGACTGGGCACAATATACTCTCTCTTCTGTCTTACCAAGAGTCACCCCGAAGTTGCTTTGCTTTGTTTATTAAACCTGGGCTTATTAATTCAGCCTGATCTGAATTATGGCATTAGTGAGTTACCCAGTAATGGGGTATATGTTTTATTCTATTAGAAGGAAAGAAAAGGGATACAGACAGGAAAGGAAGAAGCCAGACCATTTGTGTTTGCAGATGACACAAATCTACATCCTAAAGACACCACTATGAAACTCTTAGAACTGACAGATACTTTCATCAAAGTGGAAGGATACAAGGTTAATATAGAATATAAGAAAAACAAACAAATTGAAAGAGAAATTGAGGAAAAGATCCCATTCACAATAACTAAATGAAAATAAAGCAAGAAAAAGAAATTCCTTGGAGTAAATATAACCAATGACACAAAAGACCTTATAATGAACTTTAAAACATCAACAAAAGACATTGAAGAGATGCTGACAGATGGAAAGATTTCCCATGTTCATTGTTTATAAGAAACAATGTTATCAAATGACTGTTTTATTGGAAGCAATCTACAGAGTCGATGTAATCCTGATAAAAATTCTAATGCCTTTCTTCATAGAAATAGAAAAAAAATCATAAAAATCATATGCAAGTACGAGAGATCCTTGAAAGCCAAAGAAATCCTGAGCAAAAAGCATACTGCTGGAGGTTTTACCATACCTCTCTTCAAGTTACACTACAGAGCCATAGTAATAAAGACAGCATGGTTCTGATACAAAATCAGATTCATACAGCTGCGCTATAGAGCTGAGGACCCAGCTACAAGGTCATATACAACTACAACCATCTGATTGTCAACAAGGACACAAAAGAAAAAATCCATTAGAGAAATGACTGTCTTCAACAAACAGTGCTCAGAAACTGGATGACTACATTTAGGACAAGAAAATTAGAGTCTTGTCTCTCACCCTGCTCCAAATCTACCTCCAGGGAATCAAGACCTCAACATAAAACATGACACTGAATCTTTTATAGGGAGAAGGAGGGAGTACACTGGAAGGTAAAAGCATAGGCAAGGACTTCCTGGATCAAACTCTGAGGGCTTGTAATCAACATATAGTTAGTCATGAAATTAAAAAGCTTCTTCATAAAAAAGACAACTGTCAGTCAAATGAAGAGTCACCACATATAATGGAAGAAAATAGAGAACTAAAGATGCAGAGCAGATTATTTCTATTGTTTAAGTATGAGGTGGATCAGTTATTAGAAGGTTCTCAGCTCTCCTAGGGCTTGGGAATGTAATATTTGTTTCGCTGTAAAATGGAGTCTGAAGTAAAAATGGCAGTACTTAGGACAATGCCTTTTCCTGTTCCCAATAGGACTTTGCATTTCCTCTCTCTCTCTCTCTCTCTCTCTCTCTCTCTCTCTCTGCTGTCATTCATGAGTGCATGTGTGGAGGCCAATAGTAAATGTCAGATTTTGTCCTTTATTGCTCTCCATTTTACTGTTTTGAGACAGGGCCTCTGACTGTAGGCAGAGATTTCTCCCTGGTTGCCTACTCCCAAATAACCAGTAGCCGGTTCCCAAATAACTGACACAGAGGCTTAATATTCATTATAAATGCTCAGGCTTATTACTACCTAACTCTTACATTTAAATTAACTCATATTTTTTTTATCTATGCTTTGCTATGTGACTCATGGGTTGTTACTTCATTTTCTACATGTCCTGCTTTCTGCCTCTGAATCTGCCCTCCTTCATGCCAGCATTCTCTGTCTCCCCCCCAACCTTATCCTGTCAGTCAGTTTGCTCATTAAATCAATCATAGCAACATATATCCAGACAGTGTACAGATGGATTATTCCCTAGTTTCTCATGAATCTTGAGCTTATTGTTTCAACTAGATTGGGTAGCCAACAAGCCTAGCAGCATTGGGGTTACAGATATATGCCACCTTACTTGGCTTTATGTAGGTTCTGGGGACTTGAATTTGGATCCTTATGCTTGCACACCAAGCACTTTACCCACTGAACCATCTCTCTAGCTTTATAACATTTTTTTTAGAGGAAAAGAGATAAGATGAAGTTAAATACTACTAAACTGAAGCAGAAAGAGAAAGGGTGAACATGAGAGTAAAAACAAATGGTTGCACAATAAAGACAAAAAATACAAACAAAATCAGATAAACATTTGAGGAGTGGTGCTAGAGAGATGGCTCTGGGTTTAAGAGCAAGTGCTGCTCTTTCAGAGGAGCAGGGTTTTCTTCCCAGCACCTACATCAGGTAATTCACACCACCTGCCAAGCCAGCTGCAGGAGTTCTCATGCCTTTGGCCTATGCAACCCTCCAAATAGCATATATCACACAGATAAACACACATGCACACAATTAATAAAATAATTAATAAAATAAAATAGATCTTAAAATAACAAACGAGGAGACAGAAAATTAAAATAAAACCAAGGAAATATACCATCAAATGTATAGGCATAAAAATTAAGGGACGAAAGGGAAAACATTTGCTGTTCTTCTTCAGTTGCTCCTCCATCTTATTTTTTGAGACAGGGTCTCTCCCTGAACTTGGAGCTCACTGACTCAGCTAGATGGGCTCACAAGCAAGCTCCAGGAATGTTCTTCTTCGCATGCTCCCAGGACTGGGTTCATATATGTGGTCTCAACCTCTGAAGTACTATGTGGATGCTGGAGATTCCAATACATGTCCTCTTGTTTGAACAGCAAGCACATACCTACCAGTGTTTTCTAACTCTTTTGTGAATGCAGTTCTATCTGGTCTAATAAGGTGGGCACTAAATACTGGCTATCATGCCCAAGTTCTCCCTGTAATGTCTGTCCTATGTGGTTTTCTTGACATTCATGGGACCCTATCATGTGGTGACCACGGGTTCCTAATGGTTCCTGTGGGACTGTCCACCAATGAATGACTACCTTGTGTTGCCTTGGATTATGTAACCTCTACCGCAAGGAGAACAGGCAGTTCTATTACTCTGTGCACTCGCCGTGTCCTCAGGTTCATTCAGTTATCCTCACATCCCACAGCCTCATGAACTAGGGGTGGGAGTTTCTGTTATTGTTTGTTTAAAAATTCCAATTACAGCAATTCAGTCTGTTATGCTCCTTGATTCTCTCAGTGTCCTGTCATAGGTTATTCTTTAGGTCCCCAGCTGCTTGTTGACTCATGGAAATTCCCTTTCTCTGTATTAAAAGGTGGGGCCTCAGGGTTCTCTTTTATCATTTTTACCCTGTTTTCTTCTTCCTTGTCCTTCAGTTCTTTCCATGGGTTTCAAGTTTTAGGATCCCACAAAGACCTTTTTAGTACAGGTCTAATGTTTTTTGTGCTCCCTGCATTCTGCCAACTAGCAAGACAATATCTCCATTTCATCTTCCTTTTATCTTTTGACCCCATCAGGTCAGTGCTGGTGTGAAAGACAGCATCTGCATGTCCAAGGCTGATACTGAGACTCTTTCTCTGTTATCTTCGACCTTGTTCATTGAAGCCATTGCTTACAACTGAACCCAGAGCTTGCCTATAAAGCTAGATTAGTCAGCTACTTTATCCAGTTTGCACTGCAAATTCCTGGTCTCTGTTTGAGAGTGCTGGAGTTACCTACATCCACTCAGCTAACACATGGGTTATAGGAATCTGACCTGCAGGGTTCATGCCTGTACCCTAAGCCCTTCATCCACCAAAATAAGTCCCCAGTACCTTCTTCTTGAGAATGAGACAATTTCAAATGAGACACAG